ACTCACCGTGAGGTCAATCTTTCCCTACCGCGATGTCCACTTGTTGGGGCATCGTGACACTCATACACGATGCGCAATCGCAAATCATCATGAGAGGGAACGATGACACGAGGTGTGTCGCCTTTGACTGCTGCATAGTACAGCAGTCCATCACGAACCGAATATCGTTCGGTTGAAGAGCGGTATTGAGACGTCAAGCTTTTCAAAGCTTGACTGCATGGATTAGATAAATAGTCCATCGATCGCAGAAAATACTCATCTTCTGTGTATGCTTTTCGCATGTCGTCGAGCAGATCCGACTACGGAACACTCACTGTTAGTGTCGATGCAGTGGGATCACCCCTACTGTAGTGTTGAGCAGTCGGCTCGAAAGCGGGCCGACGCGAAAGAGCATCAGCGACGACATTAAGTCGTCCTGGTTTAAACACGACGTAGAAGTTGTACGCCGCGAAGAAAGACAGCCACCTCACCATTCGTTGCAAGAGGTGTGGACTGTTTACGGCCGTGCGTAACGACGCATAATTGGTACAAACGATGAAGGACCTATCTTCTGAGGGATATACCCTAAACTTAGCCGGTGCAAATTTCAAGGCAAGGAGTTCCTTGTCATGCACTGGTTAATTACGCTCAGCTGCTTGCTGCTGACGCGATTGATAACAGACGACGCGCTCAACGCCTTCTGAGTTGTACTGCATTAAAGCGCAGCCGATTGCAAATGGCTGGCGTCACAGACCACATGAAATGGTCTATCCTGATCTGGAATTGCCAACACAGGCGATTGCACCAAGCTTTTCTTGATGCCTTCAAAAGAGTGCTGACACTCAGCGCTCCATGACCACCTCTCGTTTTTATTAGCAGTCGAGAGGGACGAACGGTCAAATAGGCGTAAGTGCGAGAGTACTTGTGCAAGTACGCTGCTTAGCCAAGGAAATATCGAAGTCCCTTGACGTCGACTGGCACAGGCCAGTCACTAATCGCCTTTATCTTTTCCGGATCAGGGAGTACGCCTTTTACCCACGATGCAGCCAAGAAGTGGTATCTCGCTCGCTACGAATATGCACTTCTTGAGGTTGACATACAACTTACGCTCTCGCATAAGCGTAAGAACCTTCTGGACGTGGATTCTATGAACCTCTACTTCCGTCTTTCCATCAATAGCCCTGCTATGGACGAAGACATCTTCAAAGTAACTCGGTGCGAAGTCTCGAACCGATCGCAACAGATTCGTAACACATATGTTAAGCGTTGCGGGGCGTTACTTATCCCCTGTGACATCACTAGCCACTCCCAGAGCATACCACTGGGGGTGCTCAATGCTGTGTACGGGATGTCCCGTTCACGCGTGAGGATCTGATAGAATCCATCCAGCAGATCCATGGATGAAAAGATGGTACTATTTGCCATACCATCTATGGTGACGTCCTTCCTTGGTATCGGCGTTTGAGCCGGTACCGTTGCGGCGTTCCATTTGTTGAACGCGTGCACTATCCGCCACGCTCCTGTGGCCTTTCGCACAGAAGTTCGGAGAGCTGTGTGGGGATGATGATTCCCTCACATGACCAGCCGCTAAACGATCGGCAAAGAATTTGTCGATCGATGTGACCTGTTCACAAGGCAGTGACCACTGCTTCATGACACAGTACTTCGAACCGGGTTTCAGCTCGATCTCATGCCGAGTGCCTTTGTCCTTGGGCAGCTCGCATGGCATGGTTTCAGGGAAAACATCCCTGAGTTCGATCAAATCCTTTTACAAAGGATTTGTCTTCAAATACTCCCAAGATTGAGACGTGTACCGCTCAAATCCGGGTCTTCGCATCGAGGACACTCTCATCCATCGCTCAATCCGGGTCTTCTCATCGAGGGCACTCTCGTCCATCGATGAACTACTGAGAACCCGTTCGTTCTCAGCAAACACTTGTGCCGACCGAATATCGGCGACGCACTCGTCCTCTGTGACGAGTACGCAGATCTGCTTGATCTTGTCACTACGCAGATCTCGCACAAATCTTTTGGATTCAAGCGTTGGCAACTTGATTACCTCCGAATCTGAGTTCGGGGGTGTAACTAGCTCAAGTTTATAAGTGCCTACACTTGATCCGTCATTCACTAAGACATTCACTGTCTCGGTGATTTCCTTGGAAAAAACATCCGCAGGTGGTTGGGGATCCACATCTTCAACATAACTCTCTCGAGGGTTATCACTCTCAGAAACGCTGGAACTTTCTTCGAATACGTGTACTGACTGTGGGTGTTTTACCACAGTCACGTCCTCACTGATCGGCTCTCTTTCAGTCGGTCGGGCTTCAACGTGTTGTTCATCCTGAACAACACTAATCTCTATTCTCGGATGCACCCTTCTTGGTGTGCATTCGTGTTCCGTGTTCCAGTCCACTCGATATTTATGAGTGGAAATATAAAATCCACTGTAAACACTTCGTGTGCTCACATTGAATTATACAGCCCATTGACGTCGAATCATTCGCGAAACAATGAGATTTAAACAGCAACCATGGCCATGGTCCATTGTTTTCGGGCAATTATTCAATTGTCCGTAAATTGAACACGCAAGCTCACAGGCGTTTGCACTAAACGTCAACATTGCTTCTTTTATCTGGCTTCAAGCGCATGGGACGGGAAATTGGCATCAGGAACTGCAGTCACTGTCACGAAATTGGACAGGATCGGCGCTGGTGTCCTATTCATGTTTATATTGATTCTATTAACGATGTTGAAGCGCCCGTCTTATTCGAGGCGTTTATAAGTGCGCCATCTTCGCGACCACCTCTTTCTACTCCACGGCCTCCATCTTATGTTACACAATGTAGCGTGCCGGTGCATACAAACTATCCTACACGGTCAGGTTGTCGTCGCATATATCATATCTGTAACGGGGTGAACCTTTACATAACAATTTATAAGAAATTGTTAATAGAATATAAATATAAGAGTTATATTCTCAAAATATTGTCATAAGGACAAATATTCTGCAGCACTTACGAGTAGTTCCTAATTGGTTGATATAGGCCATTATATCAACCAACGAAGACGCGCCACGACAGACGCACGCAATGAGTGGTGAGCAGATAGTTGACATACACATTTGTATTTAGATATAGTTAGATGAGGATAAATAGTGATTTATTAACAGACATTAACTATTATAAATACAGTTCTACTTTTTACTTAAACCAAGTGCTCGCTTCTCCTTACCGTCTTCCTCTGCACGTACCAGTGCACGTGAAGTTACGAGGCACCGCCTTATTCTGTCGTCAGAAAAAGTAGCTTGTACTTTCATCAGTACAAGCTTCAGGGTGCCCCCTTACAATATCCAGGCCAATTTATACCGTCCAACTTTTGTCACACCCCTGCACCGTCGCTAAAATGTATTCAAACTATAGCCCGCAGCACAATGGTACTAGGAAATAAAATATGGACACCAATAGCAGGACTGAAAGAAAGTGGCTATTGCATCTGTTTGTGTGACGAATACAAGACGAATTGGTAGTCTACATTTCGTGTGTGCACGTGATGTCCCGCCTAACGTACTGCTGGAGATAATCTAACTAGTATTGCTTAATGTGAAGCGAACTGCGCCAGAGATCAATTAATTATTCGCTTAGAAATTTCAAATTGTTGGTCTTCGTATTCAATTTTCGGAAAAGGGGAGTATTTTGTAGTATTTGCTGGTAGTTGGTGTGAGGTGAATTGCAAAGTGGATATATTGATGTCTTTATTTCGCAACTTCTTCTTGCTACACAAGGCCTAATGGATTCTTCGACCCTACAATAGCAATCGATACTACGCGCATTACTCATTGGATAGTCGCACATGAGTAATCGACTCTATACCATTACTCATTCGATAGTCGCGGAAGAGTAACCACGAGAAACCATGTTACACATATTACTCATGGGATGGGCGCATTGCTGATTGCCAGACCGTAGCTTTAGTTTGTCGCTTGCTGGCAGAGGTGCTTCCTTTACAACGAATCTAACCTAGAAGGGGGGGAATCAAACAATATAAAATCTTTAATCTTTGTATATGATTTTACTGTTTCGCGAATATACTCTAAAGGCAGTATCGATATACGAAGTCACTTTAGATAAATGATCAGATAAAATTTGATCAACTCAATTGACATCGTTTGGTGCCCCATATCCATGCTTGTGAGTAAGGAATCAATATAAGAAGCAAGGGTTCTGTTCGATTAAATTCGGTGCACTGTCGTGCAGTTGTCATATCTACAGGCATACCACTTTTTGATCTTTCCTGCTCGCCGAAATGAGTTTATCAGGATCGGTCCCTGCGCACACATGAACATTTGTGTCACTCTAAACACTACAATCCCGTAAATAGGGTGTCAAGCATTATAACTTTCGATCGTGTTGTCAAATCGATAGTATTATAGATCGTCTATTTGAAAGTTTTGGTCGAGGAGGGCCGTGTAGCGGAGCTACACAGCCCCTTAAGTCAGAGGAAGACTTAACGCTCTACGAGCAAATTAGTTCCAAAGAACTAACGACTTTACGAGTCAACAAGCTTTACAGCTTCAGATCCCTGTTCCAGGGGGACCTAACGATTCAGTGAATCGACAGCACTCAGTGCTCAAGAGTAGCTACCTCAAGGAGGTGTCGCTAGCTCTTAGTGATCAGTGATTAACGATCAAGACGGCTCGCAAGCCACGTGTCCTTCAGATCAAAATAGGAACTGATTTTATTCTGTTAAAGCCTATAGAATATCTTAATCCTACTCAAAGATCTTTCGTACCTAATGGCTGACACTCGTCAGCCCCTACAAACCAATAAGATATTCGATATCACCTTCACAAAGGGATAACCTCAGGTGTGTAACACCCCTGGTACAACGTACCATAATTTCGTGCAACCCCGTTACACCCTCCCCCACCAGACTGACGTTTGCCAAAACGTCAATCGAACTTGTGTTCTCAGCGAGAACAGTGCGCGTACGGTGAACCTCACGGTCACGTACGCTCCAGCACGATGTCCTCATCACCAAACGAGTCAAAGGCTCTGTGTGACTACATCGGGATAGAGGAGGAGGTGGACTATGGTAGCGATACCAGTGTCCGCGGTGATACAGGGACAATGTCCGGCTCACTGATGCCTGGGGCACAAATTTCGAACACCCTAAATCCGTTCGCTGAATGTGGAGGTGCGAGCGCGCCACCAGCGCAGTATGCAGCGTCTGGGTCTGATGAGACTATCATCACGAACCCGCTCGATGAGCAACAACAACTGCTTGTTCAAAGAGAAGAAAACGCTCAGCGTCGTGTACAAATGGCTACAACCCTTGAACGCCAGCGTGACTATATGCTCACCCCACCCAGTGTGGAGGAACGTCTACGTCAAGCGGCCGGCCAAACATTGGCAACGTGGGTCATTGGCCATGGGCCTAAGACTCCTGAGGAGGTTGTGAGCTGCCAGGCACTTCGCGAGAGGTACCTGATGCCGCAACTAACGACTCAAAGTCAATACAAGGCACGCCTTGACATGCAAGCGCGTGGTACACCGGTTCCACCGATCAAGGGTATACCCATTCTCTTGTTCGCAGGCGAAACAGTGAGCGAAGAAGACGATGCCTTTGTTCACTGGGTGCACTATGTGCGTCGCCTCAGCAACATTTTTGCTCTAAGGGCTAGTGCCAGTGTGGCTGACGTGCGTCTTGAACGCAAGCTTCGGTATGATTATGCCAAGCTTAAGGCCAGAGGCCAATTGCGCAAGCGCACGCGCTACGCTTCGGCTACTAAGGTAGCCGCGAGTGCTGGTCAGTCTGTGGCCAACAACCCGCCAACCCGCACCACTAGTGGTGGGGAACGGCCTCGGCCTCGAGACGACCATGGCCACGATGCTCAAAAGCCTCCAAAGCATATGGGCAGTCTTGCCGAAGGGGTACCTCAAATTCCCATGAGTTTTCAGACTCAGGGTACCCACGCCACTTTACCAGATACTGGTATTGGCCCTGACGACGACGTCGTTTCAGTAGTCTCTCGACATGAATTGACGACACCCATGCTCATCGAGCAAAGTCGGTGGCGGCCGGTGTATCGGTGGAGGCCCACGAGAAATTGGTTCTCGAAGTGAAGGGTCTTCAAGAGGCCTTGGGTAAGTCCCAGTGCATGCTGGATGCGATGCAAAGCCGCCTTCAGGCGATGGAGCAAGCTCAAACTCGGAGCGAGGCTCAGTTGGACTTGCTGATTCGTCTACAGCAATCCGGGGCAGTGCCCTTGTCGTCGGCGCAAGCGCCTCCAAGTTCACATGGGAAGGATCCCGGTACGGCTTAAGTAAGCCTACGTAGAACACTGGATGTGTGCGCAATTTGCGTGGGAGGTTTAGCGTATACGCAAGTCCCCTTTTGGCCGTGACCGTGAACGGTCCAATAAAGCGTGGACGCAACTTTGTCTTAAAGACAGCAGACACTACATTTGTAGGTAGATTTTTAGCATTGAGTAGTACTTGGTCTCCGACCTCATAACGTTCAATACAATTTCTGCCTTTGGCATCAGCTTGTTGGTTTTGGGTATCTTGGCTATCAGCCATTGCGTCACGCACATGTCTTAAGACATTTAATCGCGTTGCGAGAAACTCGCTTACCTGTTTTTGGACAGTAGCAGGGCTGATATCAGCAAGCCGATCGGCAACCTCTCCCCCACCAAGCCCTGATTCACGTAGTGATAGCGTTAACGGAACGCGAGGGTGGGTGAGACCGTTTATATAGAACGGAGTAAAGCCTGTTGAGGCATGAACAGCATTATTCAACGCAAACTCAACAACGGGGAGCGCTGAGCTCCAACGCCTAGGCGTATCAGCGCAAATACTGCGCAAAATATCGTTGATGACGCGGTTTACGCGCTCAGTTTGACCGTCGGTCTGCGGATGATCCGCTGTGGACATGTCCAACCGAGTGCCAAGCACCTTGAAGATAGACTTCCAAAATTTCCCAGTGAAGCGGGGGTCTCTATCAGAGATAATTGACACAGGCAAGCCATGTTGGCGAAACACACGGTCGATAAACAGCTTTGCTGTACCTTCAGCATCAATGATATCCGGCACAGCCGCTAAGTGAGCCATCTTGCTCAATCGGTCAACAAAGACCACAATACCAGTGTTGCCTTCCGAATCTTTCGGTAGGCCAAACACAAAATCCATGCTCATGGACTCCCAACAAGCAGTGGGTAATGGCAAACTAGCCAGCGGCGCCGCCGCATGTGCCGAGGGTTTTACCCGTTGACACGTTTCGCACGTACGCACATAGGTGCGCACCCACTTATAAAGTTTGGGCCACCAATAACTTTGGCTCACCAAGCTATAAGTCTTCTCACGACCGAGATGACCACATAAAGAAGTATCATGTGCCTCATAGAGGATCCGATACTTTAATTCCTCATCATGAGGTACAACGATACGAGGGTTGTCCTCAATATCCGTGCGATAGCACAACAGGCCATTATCGATGGAGTATCGATGTAGCCTCGCACGTAAACGTGCCGACAATTCTATGTCCAAGTCTTTAAACTCATCGCTCCCAAGAGCCCGTAGCAAAGCTACACACTGTTCATCCTTGGCATATGCCGCACGGATTAAGTCAGTGACCGACGACGACAGAGTCGTAACATGAGCAAGCTCATAGTCAGGTCGACGCGATAGCGCATCAGCCAAAGCGTTTTGCTTACCTGGCTTGTACTTCACCTCGAAGTTATATTCGGCATAGAAGGAAAGCCAACGAGCCATTCTCTGTGAGAGATGAGGCGACTGTGTCGCAGTGCGTAATGACGCATGATCTGTATAGACCACAAACGGCTTTGAGCCAAGCAGATGTACTCTGAATTTGACTAGAGCGCACTTCATAGCAAGTAGCTCTTTGTCATGAACTGGATAGTTCTTTTCGGCAGCTTTCAGCTGTCGAGACTCGAATGCGATGACGCGTTCGCGTCCATCGACATCTGTTTGTAACAGAGCACTGCCTATGGAAAAGTCAGATGCGTCACAGACGACACTGAAAGGCCGATCAGGATCGGGCAAAGCCAATATTGGCGCATGAAGGAGACTTTCCTTAACGGCTTCAAACGCATCATGTTCGGTGTTACTCCAACACCACTTTACATGCTTTTTAAGGAGATTGGACAATGGCCGAGCCATATCTGCGTAATTCGCACTGTACTTATGTAAGTAATTGGCAAGGCCAAGCCACTTACGCAAGTCCTTTTGGTTCTTGGGGACTGGCCAATCGACTATGGCTTTTACCTTAGCGGGATCCGCTCGAAGGCCTCGCTTCCCAATGAAGCACCCTAGAAAGGGAATCTCTTCTGCACCAAAGATGCACTTCGATGCGTTCGCATACAACTTATTCGTTCGCGTACACTCGAGCACCGCTCGTAAATGATTGATGTGGTTATCCACATCTGATCGCCCATTCATTGCACGACTATGGACAAAAATGTCATCAAAGTACGTTTGTGCATAGCCTCGATGAGGTCTGAATAGTTGCGTTACCAACCGGTTAAATGTATCCGGGGCGTTAGATAGCCCTTGTGGCATAACGAGCCACTCCCAGAGCATACCGCTCGGAGTACTCACCGCTGTTAGCGGATTTTTACTTGCTCGCATGAGCAGTTGGTAATAACCGTCGACCAAGTCGAGTGCACTGTACAATGTACATCCTGCCATATTGTTCTGAAGAACATCCTTTCTAGGAATAGGCGTCTGCGCTGGTATAGTGGCTGCATTAAGCTTATTATAAGCATGCACAATACGCCACTTGCCATTTGGCTTTTTGACACAAAATGTCGGTGTTGAATGGGGAGACTTGCTCTCACGAAACATTCTAGCCGCGTGCTTAGCACGAAAGAATTCGTCAATGACGTCACACTGTTCTTTAGGCAAAGGCCACTGCCGTGTTACACAGTATTTATTTCCAGGAACCAAGTCAATCTCATGACGTACACCTCTATCGGGAGGTAAGGCAGAAGGTAGGTTGTGACACACCACATCTTGAAATTCATTAACCAAAGGATAGAACGGATCCAAGGGATCTTTAAGGATCGAAGATCCACTTCGTGCACTAAGTGCCGCCTTTGTATCCTCCAGGACAGACTCATCCATTAACGAGGAAGAATTCAACTCAGTATCAGGTCTAATGACCGCTAACTCGGATAACTCTCCTGCCTTTAAGGCCTGGCTAAACTCGCCATCAGACGTTTCGTCTAGCTCACAAAGAGCGTCCACGGATGGAAGGGTTTCAAGGCAAACACTGCCATCAACCCGACCAGTCACTCCATTAACAAGTGCATGTAGTGTATTACTATTATCAATATGTGACTGTGAGGACGCCTGGCGCTTAAACGTAGCTACCCGGCGTCTCGATCGTCTCTTCGAGACCTTACACCCCTTAGGGGTCGGGACAAAATTGTCCCCATGGTTACTACCAACCATAGTACGCTCTATACGAGAGCTTTTGTCTTGACCGACATTAGGTGTGGTGCCCTCACGGCCGTCCACACTATACGGCGTATCGCCAACAGTATCATTACTGACATTAGGTGTGGTGCCCTCACGGCCGCCCACACTATACGGCGTATCGCCAACAACGCCATTACCGGCGTTAAGCGTGGTGCCCTCACGGCCGTCCACACTATACGGCGTATCGCCAACAATATCATTATTGACATTAGGTGTGGTGCCCTCACGGCCGCCCACACTATATGGCGAATCGCCAACAACGCCATTACCGACGTTAAGCGTGGTGCCTTCACGGCCGCCCACACTAAATGGCGTATCGCCAGAAATGTCATTACCGACGTTCAGTGCGGTGCTCTCACGGCCGACCGCACTCGGTGTAGTTTCACGTGCCACCATACACACATCAAAGGAATCACATCCTTGATCACTCGGCCCTAGGCCAACCATGCTTTCAGCATGCAGTGACTCGTTATCACAACAAGTAACACTCAACAGAGTACGTGCCGTTTCACTAGACGAGCTAAGCTCGAAACTTATGTTTGTAACATTGGAGTTAGATAACTCAGACATTCCAATATCCAGCACATTGATATCTTCTGTCAAAGGCTCGCGCCAGTAGCGTTTTTGTTGCCTAGCGAAGGTGGGTTCATGACTCTCCAAAGCTTCGCCAGGAACATTGCGCGTAGCGCCTAAGGTCTTGGACCTCCAATCAATCCATGGCTCATGGCGCTCAAGCCAAGCCATACCTAGGATGAGATCATATCTCGAGTCCAAATCTAGGACAAGACAGCGCTCAATACTGTCAAAGTCTAAAAACTTTATACCTAAGTTCAATGGAACTTTAGGCACAGTTACGCGACTTCCAGTCGCTAAACGAACCGTGATAGAATCACCCTCATGCGCTGTAAGCGCCTCAGCATAACGCTGACTTCCCTCAAGGGAACGGCGTCGAGCATATTTGCAAGACGCTCCAGAATCGATCAATATCGACCAAGGCTTCTCAAAGCCCTTAATTTTCGCATCGGCGACCAACAAGCCAGACTTGTATCCACGCACCATACCTGTAGGTATGGTACTCTTTGGGGCTAAGCCCTGCATTCCTTTACCTTCTAAAGGTGTAACAGAACATAGTTCTTCCCCAGTAGGGCGCCCCGCGCCTACTGGGTGTCGGCATTTCCCCGTGCCATTCCAGACTTCTGACTCGGGGTCGAGTGTTGGCTCGTAGCCTGGCGTTGCTTATGCAAAGGGCAACCAGGCCGCAAGTGTTTAGTGCTTCCGCACGTAAAGCATCGTCGTACGACGTGTTGCTGCTCAGCAGCTTGAAGCTCAGCTTCACCTCCATCTTCAGCATAGCTGAGATCCATCGGTTCCGGCTTATTATAGGCAGGGGTACCCGAATAGTTTGCTCTCACAGAGCGAGGATTGAATCCATTCCAACCAAGTCTGGCCGACTTGAAGTTATGCTCAGCATTAAGAGCAATTCTCACAGCCTCTTCAAACGTAGAGGGGTGAACCCGAAAAACCTCGGTTCTGGCAATGCCAGTACGTAGACCTTCCATGAAGATAGTCACATGGACTGCTTCAGGCAGAGGGTCAGACTGCATTGCAGCCATGAGCGTTCGCAGCTCTTGGACATAGTCCGATAGTTCATTTTTACCCTGGCGGGTAGAAAGAAAGCGTGAACGCACGCGGTAAGCCTGGTTAGGTGGAGAAAACACCTGTACCAATTGTGACTTGAGCGACTCCCATGTGGGAAACGCTATGTCCACCGACGTGCTACACGTCAAGGCCCATTCTCTAGCTCTACCATCGAGCTTCGAGATAGCCAGCGAGACCTGTTGGTGGTCAAGCGTGATCAGACCTGATCTCATGGCCATCTCGATCTCACGGATCCAGAGGATGAGGTTCTCACCCTCCTTACCGGAGTAGTTTTTTACTTCCTCTCTAAGTGGACGAGGCTTAGCCTCTTCGTCTGGTACAGACACGTAGCGTGTAGGCATAGCCGACGCTATCTGGTCTTGGACCTGCCCTAAAAGGGTCGCTTCATACTGCATGAAGCTTTCAACACGTGCATTAAGCACTTCAGGATCTTGTGAAACAAGGAACTCCACGTACTCTGGACCCAAAGATGCGGTCAGCTTATCAAGCGCGACCTTTTGGGCCTCAGATAGGGGAGTGGAGTTTTCCATCCCCACAGAGGATCAGTCTTAAAGACTCAGGTGTAGATTGACTACTAGTGCTACCAAGTGTAGCGGAGCTACACGGCCCTTTAAGTCAGAGGAAGACTTAACGCTCTACGAGCAAATTAGTTCCAAAGAACTAACGACTTTACGAGTCAACAAGCTTTACAGCTTCAGATCCCTGTTCCAGGGGGACCTAACGATTCAGTGAATCGACAGCACTCAGTGCTCAAGAGTAGCTACCTCAAGGAGGTGTCGCTAGCTCTTAGTGATCAGTGATTAACGATCAAGACGGCTCGCAAGCCACGTGTCCTTCAGATCAAAATAGGAACTGATTTTATTCTGTTAAAGCCTATAGAATATCTTAATCCTACTCAAAGATCTTTCGTACCTAATGGCTGACACTCGTCAGCCCCTACAAACCAATAAGATATTCGATATCACCTTCACAAAGGGATAACCTCAGGTGTGTAACACCCCTGGTACAACGTACCATAATTTCGTGCAACCCCGTTACAGGCCGAATGTGCCAGTTGCGAGGATTAAAGCGCCGTCGACGGAGCTTTTCGGGGTGGTCCTCTAAAGATGAAAGACGTGGGACTGTACCTACCTAAACTAAGCCGGTGCGAGCCTATAGTTCAAATGCTCTCAGAATTTTGCTGCCCTATGCAGCGGAAGTGCAAGAAGGCGTTGCTGTGTCAGCACCTAGCCGTTGCGGCGACCGCAAGCACAGCCGACAGGCCGTATGTGCGCGATGCTTAAGCAACGCGCAAAAGTTTAGGACCACGCTATCAGCGATGGTGGGCCCGTGCTGAGCCGCGCACACGCGCGCGGCTCACCGACTTCGAGTGCGGTCGACGAAGTATACGCGAGGACGCCAACTAACCGTACTATCCTTCAGTGACAAAGCGCTACCCGCGGCCGCACTAGCAGTATGCACAAATTAGAGCCATACCCTTCTTGGCTCTGGCTGGGTAGGTTTCCCGCTGATTGGGCTACATGCCGTGGAGATGAGGATAGGGATGGGAAAGGCTTGCTTGTGAAAATTTGGGAATAGTTGGCGTCAAAGCGACGGTCCTGTGGCGTTGGTTTCTCAACCGCGATATTCCGGGACACTGCTCATCACGACTTGTTTAAAGTGCGAACAAACGTTGTCTGCTATGCCGCAACAATCTCGTATAAAGGCGAGTCTCTTGCCTCCACACTTGATTGATACACTCATCTAATCTAGCCATTACACATTAAGTCGGGCGACAGTCCTGGACGTCGAAGGAACACAAACGCAAAAATGGACTCGGGTTAGGACTCGACAATCAATTCGCGACATGTCTTTCACTTGCTCCCAAATTTTCGTGTACTTCAGGTGCCACACACGCAAGTACGACAGCACGAAGACGTGTTTTTGGAGCGTCGACCCTTTCGTCGTAGAAACCGAGCTGGCGATCGTACGACACCCTTCATCAAACCTGTTTCTAATGGTGAACGTCACAATGTTATATGGTGTAACTATCAGAATTCCAGGAGCCCCCCCCCGTCTTTTCGCAGCGGCCTATCGAAAGTACTGGCTCATTTTGTCATTTACTGGTATAAGTCGGTCGAACAGGTACTGACTACACCTTTGCACTATCCCACAGCCGCTTGCAATGGCAAGCGGCTGTGGGATCGTGCATTTATTGAGACATTCAGTCCTGATTGTCATTTTGCAAAGTTCTGCGCAATGAGCAAGAGGCTACAAGCACTCCCGGTCTTCCTCAGTCTGTTGATGGTGGCTGCTCTGTCAGCGTCAGACGAACCAGTCCAACTGAGTGAGAGTTTTGGTGGATTTCAAGACGGGATAGAATTCTCTGATCAGGCTACAGTCGTAGCGGGACAAGAAATAGGCTCAATCACGATCCGAGGAAATAAACGCGTGGATGGTGTTTCACTGGAAGTACTGGGTCCAAGCGTCACGACCTATAATCATGGAGGGAAAGGTGGGACGGATCACGTGCTCAAGCTTGGTGAACGAGAGTATATTACGTCAATGGAAGTGCATCGGGGCGAGAAAAATGATGGCAAACGGATTTTCTACCTCAGTTTTGGAACGAGTGACGGGAATACAATCTCGGCCGGGACCAAGACGCCTGAAATGCTTACAGTCACTGCGCCGGAGGGGTTTCAACTCGGTGGGTTTTTCGGTCGATGTGGCGACGAAATCGACACGTTGGGAGCGATTTGGTCTCGTATTTCGACAGATGCTCCAGCAGCAGCAGCAGACGATCTTGCTCCGACTGGTCTTCCTGTTTCGGCTCTTAAGTCGTCGGATGGGACGGATGATGATCCGTTGGCTTTTCTGGATTCGGAGACAGCGCAAGAGTCACCTCATGAAACTTTGACCGGGTTGGCTGACCCGGCAGCGTCTACCAAAACCCCGTCCGCGTCGGCGGACTCGGCGGAGTCTGCGGAGAATTCTTCATCTGGATCTGCGGACTCGGCGGAGTCTACTGATGATTCTACGTCTGTGTCGGTGGGTTCAGCAGAGTCTACCGATGATTCCTCGTCCGCGTCGGCAGACTCGGCGGAGTCTACTGGGGTTTCTTCGTCTGATTCTGCCGACTCAGCAGAGTCTACTGACGATTCTACGTCTGGGTCTACGGGTTCAGTAGAGTCTACTGAGGATTCCTCGTCCACGTCGGCGGACTAGGCGGAGTCTGCTGAGGATTCTATATCTGGATCTCCGGACTTGGCGGTGTCTACTGATGAATATTTGGCAGGTTCGGCGGACTCGGTGGGATCTACCGATGAATCTCCGTTTGGGTCTGTGGATCCATCAGTATTTGGTGATGAACCTTCGTCTGTGGATCCAGCAGAGCTTACTTCTGGTGCATTGTCAGGGCTACGAACGACAGTTTTCTTTATATCTTTGCAGACTATTCAAGATGAACTAAAACCGTCTGTCGGACTCCTCGCCAGCGTCCGGCAAAGTTTTTCTGCAGCAGCGTTTCCACTTGCATACGAATTCCTAGTACAGCAGATATCCAATCCTCCCACGCGACTCTTCAACAGCCTCAATCGACGCCATTCTCATTTCTGCCTCCTACAGCTCAATAGATTCACTCTGGGCCCATCCTCCCTCCAATGCGCACCTCCCTCCGTATCCTCCAACGCGCATCTGCCGCCTCCGTCACCACGACTCGCAGCTTCTCTACGTCTCGATTCCACCTCGCCGCCAACAACAAGAAGGCGCAGCCGGCGAGCGCTGTCGTGCTCACCGCCGTAGGGATAGCAGCCGTGAGCGGCTTTGCCTTTACGGACTTGGTCAACGCTCATGAGAAGACTGTGGACATTGAGGCTGTGAAGAAGGAGATCATTGACATCTTTGACGACAACAATGCCCTGGGCCCGACCTTTGTGCGTCTCGCTTGGCACTCGAGCGGCACGTTCGACAAGCGCGATAACTCTGGGGGGTCCACAGGCGGAACCATTCGGTTCGATCCCGAGATTAACCACGAGGCTAACGCTGGTCTCGACGTGGCTGTGAAGGCACTTGAGAAGGTCAAGATGAACCACCCCGAGATTACGTATGCCGACCTGTTCGTGCTGGCAGGAGTCACGATGATTGAAGAGATGGGTGGCCCCTCTACCCCTTTCCGTCTCGGTCGTCCTGATGCTGTGAGTGGAAACGAACCGACGCAGACACCTAATGATCGTCTGCCAGGTGCAGACAAGGGAAGCAAGGAGAAGACCACGCAGCACTTGCGAGACGTGTTCTATCGCATGGGCTTTAACGACCGCGATATTGTCGCGCTCGCTGGCGCCCACGCGATCGGTCGCTGCTATCCCACACGTAGTGGCTACAGCGGTCCATGGACGAACTCGGAGTGGACGTTTTCGAACGGATACTTTCGTGAGTTGATGGAGAACAAGTGGACGGTCAAGAAGTGGAAGGGCCCCATGCAGTACGAGGACCCCACGGGCGAACTCATGATGCTGCCGTCTGATTTGGCGCTGGTTCAAGATCCGGAGTTTAAAAAGTACGTCGAGATCTACGCCAAGGACGAGGACTTGTGGTTCCGCGACTTTTCAAAGGCGTTCGTGAAACTCACGGAAAACGGCGTCAACTTCCCCGAGACTTCGGGTTGGCAAAAGGTTGTTGCAGCGTGTAAGGGGTGGTTTGGACCAGTTTCGAATTAGTAGCAACTTCTCCTCCGATACATGCAGCTGCAAGCAGCATACGGAGAGATCAGCTGTTCTGGACAGCGAAGTATTTTTACAATATACGTCGTCGTTCATGATATGTCCTCTTCTCTCATGTTTGCAGTCGTGCGGTCTGTCGTGACAATTGCTTTGAAGATAATTTAGGCCCCTTCGTAACAAATACAAATAAACCAAAGTCTTGTCGCGTAATTTATCAAGAGCAAGTGCGGCGACACTATCGCTGTATCGATTATAAGACCCAATGGAATTCTATCACCGTAGATTCAGTTTTGTGTTGGTACCGATCCCGGTGATGAATATACTATGATGAGTCAGTCAAAGTGTTTGATTCCTCGTCGATTTCATGGCATAGTTGCTGATCTACAATGGAGATAAAGATGATCGCTCGTGAACCGATGAGGAAGGAAAACCCACACTGGCAAACAGAAACGATACTGGTTAAACTGATGGATTTCGGTCGAGTGATCACACGTTAGCAATATTTTCGGTGTACCGGGAATTGGATATGCACCGGTGCCGGCTCTCACGGATAACATCGTTAATGCTCGCGACACTGCATACTTCGGATCGGACGCTTGAAGTATCAAGCCCGAACAAGACAAGCGTATTCTTTTGCCGTTGACAGACCGTCGAGAGCTGAAGCAATATGTTTTCCATGTCTGGTGAAATACGGTTAGTTCTGAACAGTCTACGCTTCATCATCTGCTCACATGGTACTTGCCTCCTTTTGCTGCCGTAGAGGATCACTTGATCCACGTGTGAACCTGACTGAGCAAGACAACGTATGTGCAACCGATGGTGATGAGTCCAAGTCATCGTGAACGACTCTGTTTTTTCCAGTTCTAATTGTGTTATCTTAGCTACGCGATAGCTACTTTTTTCGACAATTTATCCTACCGAAGCGACTAGTGTGGAGCCCACTGGAATAACTGATCGCAGGTTCCGAGCATGTTTCTCTTTGAATGCCAAGTACGTACAACATTTTCTGCTCATAGTTTGCAGCAGTACTTGCTCGTAGAAGACACGCAATAGTTTGTGCTACCTATTTGTGTAGACCAAAAGCTTGCTTGATAACCTGTCAGAGCTTTGAGAGACGAGGACGCAGTCTCACCCAAAGATTAATCCATCTACTAGTGATATAGCTTACTCGGCTCCTTTGTTGTTAATTGTGACATGTATCGAACCATGTAGTTTGCGACATTGTTTACACATGTTGCGAGCCAGAAGGGTGAAGCTAGTAGTGACTGTGCGCAAGCTGAATGCCATACTTTTTAAATCGTACTTGTCAGTTTGTCTGTCCGTGTGTTTGTAAATGCAGTAGAGTCTCCGTAATCTATTATTTTATATGTTAATATTTCTCCTTACTTAATAAAATGTCACTTTCTATGTTGGGCCCAGCCCAAAAATCTTAATTTTCCTATATTTTTCTATTTAAAGGTAAAAAATTATTCCACCATACAAATATTACCTATTTGCCGGGGGACAACTACAAATTGTTATCCAGAGATTGTTGCTTAAGAGATTTTTGTTACGTTTTCCCACCTGATTCTGCATCTTCTAAATTATCCTGAGAACTCCTCTCTAGTCTCCTGCTCCAACCAGAAAGTCTTGAGCTCCACAAGCATTCATGCAATGATCCCAAGAGGAACGGGTGGTGCAGCCACGCTATCGTCCTCCTTGCTTACACGTGTAGCACCCTTCTCTTAAACCCTATCCCCCTAACTCTGCTATTTAATAATTCCCTTATTTCGTCAAAATTTGGCGGTCGCCACATTCAAATAAGGGAGACTCCACTGAAATGCGGCTTGGTGGCCCTTCACGTACCAAGTACGATCTAGACTGTCCCCCCTCATAGGTATATAGGCGTACCTGAAGTCACTCTATGGCTAGATCACTATTGTGAAGTACCCACGTCATTAAAATGAAAATCGATCAAATGTGAAAATTATCATGTAAGCAAACACTGGACGCTCATAAGCAAAGGCTGTCGAGTTGCATGAGTATATTCTGGATAAAATTGGACATTTACAACATCATACTCATTATTTAGTGAATGGTATTGTAAGGCGTTTTGTAAATTATTTCAGTTCTTTGAGCTGAATGACTTAAATCAAACGGCGAGGTCCAGAGCTTGCTCCCCTACCGGAATGGAGAAAAACTAATGGGTAATCTTACCTTTTATATCAGTGTCGAATTTGCAACCCCTCCTGGAAGAGATAACCATTCATCCGGGTCTTCTTGTTGTTCTTTTGTAGAATCCGAGCTGCTCCCCGGACTCGCGCTTAAAACAGCAAGGTTTATTTGCTTTCGATAAAAATCGTTCTCAGTATTATTCGCAGTTGCCATGAAGGCAATAGAGATCCGTGCCTCAATTAAAAAAGGAAGCTATTAAGCAAGTTTGAAAACATTCTCTTGGAATTTAATCGACGCTGACTCTTTATTTGAAAATAAACTCAATCTCCTTCTGTGCAATTGTCTTCTCTAGGACTACGTTGTAGTATAGGCCTAAAATTGCAAAGTTGATGTACAATATCTGACTAAATTAAAACTTTCTTAATCCCACACATACCAGTTCCGTACACGTCGAAAATATCTGAAGGCTCCTAGCGACGAGTTACATCCCGAAGTCCAGTCAATGATGCATCGAATTCTTCCTAATATGATGAACCACTCTCGCCGTGGATTTTGATCCTGTGCAGCTTGTTTTACTTCCAGATGCGTGGTATCACCCACTGGAGGACAAAATTTCTCGTTTGGCATGAAATAATTAATGTTATCAAAGCTTCATTCTGCTTCGTTTTCTGAGCGATGCACTCAGCGAAGAGTTCAGTATCTGTCACACATTCTAGGTCCGCGCTCTTCTTTGGTATAGAGGAGATGGCAAACCGAATGAGATGAGCACCAGACTTGTTAATAGCCCAATTTGCGTGGACACTGGCTCATTTTCGGATTTTTGAACTTGACCTGGCAGAACTCGAAACTTTGTGCATTGCTGAGGCGTGCTAAAAATGTGTTTAAATACGATTTACAATGAGAAAACCGCTAGTTTACTTAATTTTTTTACATAAAAAACCGAAATTCACGGAGCTCATAAAAACTCATCTAATTTATAGAATCTGTCTCCAATAGTCCTGTAACTTATCCGAGGCATTACCGTGTCCAGGTTGAACTACAGCGCATAGTGATGGACCGAGCGTTGCACGTTGGTAGTGCTATTTCTTGACGTTGGCATGATTTGCATACAAGAAAAGGACACCAATATAATCAAGATTATACAGGATTCCTATAAAACATCAATCTCGATCTAAAATCGAAATCAACATAGCCCGACGTCCACCTCGTTCATATGTGATGGAACGTCAGAGTAATTATTACGTCAAAATGATTAGTTTAACCTAAACACGAAAAATGATGCATATCAAGGTGCTCTCTAAGACAATCCCAACAATAACAGAAATGGACGTCCAGAATGGCCCATGACTGCTGTATCGTGTCTGTCACAAATCGTTGCATTCTTCATCTTGTCCGTTTTTTCTAGGCCCATGGTGGAGACTTTAAAATATATAGAAGCAGAATAGACAGCCCAAATGTGTAACAGAAAGCAGAAAACAAGAAACTATTCACCGCCGTGCATGATGCCTTCAGTTGATTTTTGCATTTACTGACATTTATATGAGCACATGTATTTTTGGCTTTTTGCACATGCATAAAATAACGGGGAACTGGTCGCTTGTACTGTCACAGTGCAAGCTGCTTACACTGAATACAGAAAAGATTGTGCCTCTAGACTTCACGTACACGCGTCGTGCAGAGGAATGTTCAACGCGAGAAAGGAGTTAAAGTAGAACTGTATTTAGTATCGTTAAGTCTCCTGTTTGTAATTCTTATTTCGTCTTCTTTCAACTAAAGCTAAAAAAAACAGGGATTTTAACTCTCTGCTCACCACTCATTGCGCTCTTCGGTCGTGGCTCGGGTTTATAGGCTGATATCACAAATCTTTTAAAACCAATGAGCATTTCATCACTTCTGTACCACAAAATTGATTGCTAAATTAATATTGTGAGAATATGATGTCTGTTCTAACATAATGCTCATGCTTGATATTTACATTATGTAAAGTGTCCCGTAACGGGCACACCCAGTTACACATGACCATGCTGAATATTATTAATTTATCAAGGGTCAGCAATAAGTGTGCCATAGACCATTTGTATGCTCGTCAGTGATGTTGCCTTAAGTGCAATTGACCTGTTTACTTTGCTATCTTTTATACGCCTATCCTGATAACATTAGCGTCATCTTTTCGACTTTCACGTTGATGAACAAGATTCACATCTATTAAAGCATCCTTGATACGCGAGTTCAGTTATTTCATCACCTTAAATGATTGCTTGGGTCTCCCGCGTCACCAATACGCGGCGAGGAGATAGAGGGGAAGAATTTAACAAAGTGGTCATGAATTCGCTAGTCTCTTACTATAGCTGCTCACTATTTGTAGCGGAGCAACAGCTCTTTCTATAAAATGATACTTTCGGCTGAAATCTACTTCGTTTTACATTGCTAAATATAATCAAAGTCTATTTTAAGGGACATAGGACTGCTCCCAAGATAATGAGAAAAGCCTGAAAGTTTTTCGAGAGAACTAACAGCACAGGCGCTTAGAGTAAATGAGTCTATGTAGACTTTAATTTTTAGCTCAATGGGTAAATAAAATTTATTTTATAATGTCAGCTATAGTTATTAAATCCAGTGTGCGTAATATGCACTGATAATTAAACACTTACTAAACTAGTTTTTGTGGACCGAGATTCATTCAGGCATCTACGTGTGTCGCACTTAGTACAGTTCTGTCGGTAAAAGAACCATAAACGAGACAGGTATAATAGATGTGGTGCCTCGAAGATCCCACTTGAAACCTCCATAAGGACATCGAATTGAGTTAGCATCCTATGCATTATCCCCGGTTATCCAACCGT